AACTGAGGAAGAAAGTTGCCACTGTGTTAAGTACTAGAGAACCTTTGATAGGGAATATGATTCTTGTCAGGGTGATATCTTTGTGCCCCAACATTGATGGACCAAATACCAATCCTCCCTATTCAGTTATGAGGAATGTTAGTTATAATAAATGTGTAACGAATGCCGATGCGAATGCGATTGAATATAAAAAGCTTACAAGAATATGAGAAACAAGAGAGGTTTGTCCTAGTGGTCTGAGACAAACATCCATGAATTGTGTGACAATTGTAATAAGAGAGACCTGCAGAAAGAGAAGAGAAGTGGGGGAAGAAAGAGGGTTGCCCAAGTGCCACACACTCTTGCTAGATTGAAGTTGAGGATTTGTGCATATTACTGAAGAATTTGCAACATCCATTTTTTTTATATATCAACTTGTAGCAATTGAAACTTGTTTTTATTGTTTTAACAGTATTTTTCATAGAGAAGAAGAAGAAGAAGAAGAAGATTGTGAAAGAGAAAAGATGATAAGAGTGATGAAGGAATAAGAGGCTTTCCTTGTATTTTGGAAATGACATGTTTCATGGTTTACCTTCAAATTCTCTTGTTTTAAAAGCCAATCACTCTCTTGCAAACTCTATTTTTGTATAACTTTCATTCAGAGGATACTAATCATATTAACTAAAAAGCATTGTGAAAATTTAAATAGCAAATATATAGCCAATCCTTTAATTATGAAAATTATATTTTTCTTAAATCTCAATATTCAACTCCGACCTCAATTCAAGCCAAAGTTTTTCTCCTATATATTTACCGATCCAACACAAAAATTATTAGCACGTATCAGATATTTCAATCTGAACCTTTGAGAGTGCACACTCTTAAGTCCGCCCTCACCAAAGTGTACGGATTAATTATGCAAATTATATTAATCACAAGATTATATTTATTTATATATTTCAAATTACTCATGTATGTACAAAAGACACTATATGTTATGTTCATACAAACAATTTTTTGTAGTTTAAGGAAAAAAAAACTAATAATTGAGACATCTAATTTTTCTGTGCCTAGTTAATTATATTAAAAATGTTATTAATTCAACTCACAATCAAATTTTGGTTCATTCGACTAAATAGTTCATCACAATTTCGGAATTAATCTAAATTAATCATTTATTGAACTAAATAACTATAATTATACATATGAATAATCCGATGTCACATATCTATAAAAGAATGACCATTGTAATTTCATATTTGATAATTTATGTACATGAAATTCGAGAATTACATAACATTGGTAGATAGATATAATCAAATAATTCATAGATTATATAATTTTACCATGCTCATATATATAGTACAATATTGATGTTTTAATTTGAAAAAAGAAAGAAGCTAAACTAAATTTCAGTTGTGGCGGATTTGAGCTGCATCTTCATCAAAAGGAGTTGCATTCTTTCCAATTTTGTGAAAAACTGATTATTTGTTCTGTTGTGATGTTACAGTTATACGTTTCAATATCTGCTACGCCAGACATGCACAGAAGTTTTCACGCAATCACGCATTTGAGAATATCTCAACTGTTTGTGAAAGATTTAATGATTCACTATCGCTTTTGACTGCAGAGAATCCAAATCCTTTTTTACCCCTGCTCATAAGTTTTACTATAGAAGTTTAGTCATAGTCATATCTCAATGTTATTCTTTTCCTTGTCCTAATCCTTCGATAATACGAAGTAATGTTAAAATGTTACACATTAGTCGAATAGAATTGACTCGTGTAAGAATAAACAAAAAAATCTAAGGAAACAGTAGAAAGGAAAGTGAATAGAGTGAACTAAAAAATATAAAAAAATAATAAATAGATGTATCTACAGTCTGTCATATTCATCTATTGAAATAGTACAAGAAGGTATTGGTGGTTCATTCGTGGGAACATTATGTACAATCTGATCCTTTTGACTTGGCATAACATTATGGTTAATGAATCTCCCTCTCATTCTTTGTTGTTGCACAACCAACACAGATGCTTTTCTCGCATAATCCGGTGAAGCCAACATATCACCAACCACACCTAACTCGGGACACTCACTCCATTGATCATGTCCATGCAACAATACTGATTGTGGATGTGACTTCCCTACCATAACTAAGTCGAAACAATCTACCATTCTTCTTACGCTCGAAGAAAACTCTATTCCATCTCTCACAACTTCTTCGGTTATCTCAAACCTTCTATTTCCGTTATTATGATATCGATATTCATCTACAAGATCAGTTTCATATTTTCTACCTTTTGAATTCTCTTCTCCAAAAACAAGGAACCGAATAACTGATACATTCACACACTCGTGTCTAGACATTCGACTAGCATAGGCTAGTGCTTCAGCATCGTCTGCACCGCCAATGAAGAGTACTGCTACATAGTATGTTGATCTACCTATTAAAAGTGACGGAGAACCGCTTAAGATAGCTCGGTCGATGAGGATTCCGACTGAACAAGGCGCTCTTTCAAGGACTTTAATGTTCATTGTTTGGATTCCTCTATTTTTTACCTCGACCGTTCCATCTATCTCCCATCTTTTGTGGAATGGCATGATCAAAATGTTGGCTATTCTGTCGAGGGATATTCCACAGACATCCTCATGGATTGTGTCAAAGTCGGACATTGATGTGAATGATTGAACATGCGCACACCCTTCATTCAGCTGTTTATATTGCTTCAATGCATTGTCGAGTTGAGTTGAATCACAACTGGTTATTGGAAGCGTGTCATGCGGTTGGTGAGCGACGAGAAGAGGCCTTGATCTTCCAAGAAGCTCTACAAGGAGAAGTGCTATAACTTCAACATTGCTCTCTTGGCTTGCACACGATGCTTCTATGATGTTGAACATTGTTGGGATGTTTTCATTCTTGTTAAAGCATACCATGATTCGGAGCACGGAATCTCGCTTTGTATGCTGTATTGAAATTCTTTTTCCTGAATGATACTCGGCTGAAGAATTATATGTGAATTTTATCAGTGGTGATATGATACCATTTATCACTATAAGGGTCAGCACCATAAAAGAGAACAGTTGTCCTGTTAGTATCTGCCATAGAAAAGAGATTTTTATGTATCATGTTAGTCACTCACTCAAAAATTTTGTAGAATCAAAATCAAACTTTACAAAGTTTGTAGGACAAAAGATACATTGAAGTTTTGATATATTGGATTGAACTTACTAGTATGAAAGATCAATTTACCTTGCCGCTTTTCATTAAATTGTACATGGAGAGCTCAGCTATACCTCTGCCATTAAGAACTAGCCCAATCAAAACACAATCTTTCATGGGAACATTGTAATAATAACCTGGCAAAATAACGGCAATGATCTTTGCGACAAAAGCGACTATCACTATGACTGTTATAATCCAAGTAGCCTGAAAGTTGATTTTGAATATATCAGTCTGCAATCCACTGACAGCAAGGTATAATGGATACAAAAAACCACCAGAAAGCGTTTCCATTTTCGATATCAAAGTCGATCCTAAAGGCGGCCCTTCAGGAAAAGCCAAGCCAAAAAATATCGGTCCCATAGAATAGTGCTGTCCAATGATCTCACTGCAAAATGAGGTGAAGAGAACACACAGAATGATACAGACAATGCAAAATTCGTCGATCGGCTTTCCATTTAACCGGCCTACATACCATACTATAGTCGGCCTCATTACATAGAAGATAACAACCAAGAGTGCGCCTATGGATAGAAGAATCCATACTAGTGTCACCATACTCTTATTACTAGTTTTAACCTGTATTACTGCAAAAATAAGTGTTATGACAGGGATACTAACAACATCGGTAAACATCGCCGATGACAATGCTAGACGGCCGACATTGGTGTTTAGGATTTTAAGCTCTGTTAGAAGGACTGATATGCTGATGAATACGGTAAAGCTTTGCGAGACGGCTATTAACGGGAGAGCAGTCGCGAGGGTTTTGTCCATGGAAACAAAACTGGTCAATGCAAAGGATAATCCAAGAGGGATTAGAAATGCGAATGCGAATACAGAAATACCAATTGTGATGGCTTGTTTTTCTGTTTTCAGCATTGTTCCAGCATCCATCTTTACACAACATATGAAGTAGAAGAAATTGACGCAGAAAGTTGCCACTGTGTTAAGTATTAAAGAACCTTTCATAGGGAATAAGATTCTTGTCACCATCTTTTTGTGCCCCAACATTGATGGACCAAATACCAATCCTCCCTATTCAGATATTAAGAATCTTAATTAGAAATAAATAACCTCTTTTTAACACACTCTTAAAACATTATTAATTCATTCCTAAACTAAAATGCATCACATGTAACATTCTACATAGCACCGACACAGACGAATGTGATTATCGAATTATGTGATTGACGGAATATAAAACGCTTACAAGAATCTGAGATACAAGGGAGGTTTGTCCGAGTGGTCTGAGACAAGCACCCATGAGTTGTGTAACTATAGTAATAAGTGAAACCTGCAGAAAGATAAGACGAGTGGGAGAAGCAAGTGGGTTTCCTAACATCCACACACTCTTGTGAGAATTAGCATAAGGAATTGAACATATTACTGTAGAATTTATAATATGCATTTTTTTATCTATAAACTTTTAGCAATTGAAACTTGTCTTTATTGTTTAACAGTACTTTTCCTAGACAAGAAGAAGAAGATGGTGAAAAGAGAAAAGATGATAAGAGTGATGAAGGAATAAGAGGCTTTCCTTGTATTTTGGAAATAACATGTTTCATGGTTCACCTTCAAATTCTCTTATTATAGAAACCAATCACTCTCTTGCAAAATCTATTTTTGTACAAAAAGTTAGGCGTTGTGTAAACAAATATTTTTAATTAATATTATTATGTAACATAAATAAACATGTGTATAACACAATAAGTTACAAACATATCATTCATAGATTATTGAATCACATATATAAAGTACTATATGTTTTTTTGCAAAGAAGGAAAATTGTATACTAGAAAAGCTAAATTGCATCTTCTTGAAAGGGAGTTGCATTCTTTCCAATTTTGTGAAGAACTCTGATAACTTGTTCTGTTGTGACGTTGCCAGTAACGATGACCTTGTTCAGTTTTGTGTCCACGTTATATGTTTCAATATCTGCAAAGCCACATATGTTTTCATTTCAAAAACAGTCCATGTTTTTTAAGAAGTAATAAAATGAAAAGTACCTTGAATTTTTTTGATGGCTTTAAGGATTTTCTTGATACAGTCATCACAGTGCAAACCAACTTTCACTTCCACCACCTGATGAAACATAAGAAGAACGAATATCTCAGATCAGTTTCTGGTAAACAGATGAAAACAGAAAGGTGATGATCAATGGTTGGCTCTTACATTAGCCATTCTGATTATGTGTGATGGTTTTCAAGTCTTCAACAGAGATGACAGAAGAGGAATAGAAAAGAAAAAGAGACTTTGTAATGATTTTTGGAACCGAATCAAAGCAAATAGTATGAATATAATATAAAATATAGAAGAGAAAGAGATAAGGTAAAGACAGAAATTGGATTCTTAACGTAAATTAAGAAAGCTTTCACTTTCGGTAAGGAAGAAAATTGAAAGTATTGGAAAGTGTTACAAAGATAATGAAGCTTTTAATAAAATAAACCTCATCTTGTATTGCCGCCAAATCACACTATCCTATGATTTTTGGTATATTTTGTTGTAAAATATATAAATGGATTTTTCAGACTATAAGTGAAAAAAATAACTTTTATTTAGTTGATCTCACTCGCTCGCACAAATCAACTTTTTTTTTACATGAAAGAAAGATCATTTCATTTTATTATCAATCAAAGTAGAAATTAAGAATAAGATTTGAAAAGAGGAAACCCTGGTTAAAATATCAGCAATTTCATTTGATTATCTCTTAAGAATAACGATGTAGAGTAATGTTGAACATAATTTAAGAAAAGCTTTTTCTCATGCTCTTCATAATTCACAAAACACCTTTCATAATTCTTAAAATACAATAAATATGCGTCTGATACAATACATATGTACGGCTACACCACCGGTTACATGTATGATAGAATACAAAAAGTTTATTTTTAAAGATTGAAAGAAGACATAGTTGTCTTGCATAAAGGGACATGCATGCTAATACTTGCTGCACAATGCAGCAAACTCAAACAGGGATTTCAAACACTTCCTCTTCATCGTTAAGGCAGTGATGACTAATGAATGCAGTACCGGCCGAGATTAGGTGAAAGAAGTTAAGGACACTTTTCTGCAAAAGAAAAAAGAAACATGTCAAAGATTACAATTACATTTGCAGAGAAACGCACATAGAAGTAGAAATACTTACGATTTGAAACAAATGGAACAGAGAGCAGTATGAGAGATGCAGTCTGCATTATTAGAAATATAAAATCAGGCTTTTTATGTTATAAAACCAGAAAGAGTGTCAAGTTGTTGAGCCCAACAAGTCACTACAAAAATGAAGAATCATATGTTATGCCAAAAGATTATTCTCAAAGTTAAGTAATAGCATTCAAAAAGGCAATAGTCGAATTAAAAGTAAAACACGTCGCAATCTAGACTTTTCTAGATTCTCATTAACAGGGTTCTAAGCCCCTTAGAGCATCTGCAATGGTGAATCCAATTTGGGTTGCTTTCTAGCAATTCACTTATTTTTTACTCCAATAGTGAAATCTCTAGAATTCAAAATGAGTCCCACAGCTTAACCCTCTTTTATAAACTTTTATTCCACTTACAAAGTCTTCTTTTTCAATTTAAAAAATGTCAAGAACCAAAGTTATGGGGCAGAACTGGTTCAAAAACTTAAAGAAAGAACCGATCAACTCCCGTAATAAACAATGAAAAAATTGGTTCTTATCCTGTTCATGCTGACAAACTAAGCTTTAGAAACCTCTCTTGGAGGTTCTCTTAGAATCAGTAGCAAGCAAGCCTGTTATTTTTGCAACCTAACCCTGAAAGTATGTAAGCATTTATTATGACATAGTTATCATTTGGCTATGTCACAACAGCATTCCCCAACATCTTACATGTTTGAAGCTAGCAGTACAACTTCAACGAATATCATGGGGGGTTACATTCCTCAATCACCATCTTTCACATCCTATGAGACAATTACACTCCAATATCATTTTGTTGGTGCTCACCAGGGCTGCAATAGTTCAGTATGTTGAGTCTTACTTATCAGGGTCACCAAATGCACTTTATGATCCTATTAATTGACTTAGACCTATAACACCCAACAAATGTCAACATTGATCCTACCAATTAAAGTTTATCATACTGAATACATTGAAACACTAATCATACTCCTAGTCATTATCAAGTAACTTTTCATACTAATTGTAGCAACAACCAAATGGGTGCAGCACTCAGCTGATAGACACTTAGGCCTGTTTGGAATGACTTACATCATAACTTATCAGCTGACATAAACACTAGCGAAATTGTTCCAAAGAACTTACAAAAACAAATTATGACATGTGCATAAGTTGTCTTCAGCTTACTTATCCAACTAAATGGAACAATTTCCGGTTACCGAGATTCAACTAATGTTTAGGATGCCAAAGTAAATAAGCACAAGCATCAATGCCAAGAAGTTATCATATATGCTTTATTATAGAATTCAAATTCAAGCTCATACTTGCAAACTAAGGAGTAGATTTGTTCTCCAAATCACATGAATCAGAATCACTTGCTCTATAACCTGTACGTAAACACAAAAATCAGCACATACAAAACCACATTTCAGTAATTTGAACATAAGATAGCGAGCATCTTACCTGGCTGTTTTTCGCTTACTTTCCAAACAGAATTTTTACTTTTTGATGCTCTATTAATCCAAACATATCCCTATATGATCAAAATTCTGGAACGAATAATTAGGGTTTGTAATCACAATATAATTGAAAAGCATAAACAAAAAAAAAGACCTTTTGAGGATCTCTAGGAACACCATATCCAGAGTAATACATTTGACCAACCAGAACTTGCATGCTGCTATCTCCACCTTTGGCCTCCTTGAGTGTGTCTCGGAACCACCGCTTAGTGCAATCGGCGACGACACTGGCGAGAGGTGTGCGGCTTTCGATAGCGTCCATCTTCTTGGGCGATTCCACCTTAACAGTGAGGTCTTGTTTTGTGGTTCGGGGAGTGGTGACCTGGTTCGGCGATACGGGTCGGGTTGTTTTGTGTCTGTACGGTTTTGCGGATGATACAACCCGTGATAATCCCTTTATGAACACTGATTCAATGGATTTTCCCATAAAAGTCAGGCTTGAACGGGAGATGGTGAAGAGAAGATGAGACGAGATTCAAGTGGTTTGTGTTTTTCTGTTATGAGATGAGATGCAATGTTGTTACCAAAAGACAAATATCAGTTGACGAACATGTAGGATGAAACTCGAAATTGTTACAATTTGAGGCGTATTCTCGCAAATAATAAAAGAAATAAACACAGAAAATTCGAGGGTGTCTAAATGTAGGTGAAGTCAATTTAGCCATTAGATTAAAGAAACCTACATAATTTAAATAGTCCATACCACCAGCATTGGGCCAACGATCATCTGTTTTGGGCTGGATCGCGAGACCCACAACAAATGACTGCTAGGGTCAACTGCCCCCAAGAACTCCGGGGAGTGAAGGACATGTTCTCTCGGATGTGCGTTCAGCTGGTGACGTGTCTCCGCGTGGGGAGAACGTGTGGAGGGTGTGGCCTCCAAGGGTTATGGAAGATTGGGCCTGTGTTGGGCCCTCCTCGATGTGGAGCCGGACTGGGCTATGTCCGACGGTGGGTCAGCCCCAGGCCCAGTCCAGAACAGGAGCCCCCCAACTCATTGTTCTCAGTCAAGGGAGTAATGACTTAGAGCCAATTCGCATGTCGATGAGAGATGAAGGAAGTTCGTGCGAGGGGAGCGTTTATCCAGATTCGTGTACGTGAGCTCGTGGAGTGATGCTCGCGAGGAAGCGCTGAAGTCGCTCCTTGCGCCTGACGGAGTGATCATGTGCGAGATTTCTCGAAGTCGCTGCCCGCGAGGTTTACGTGTGTTCGACGAAAGGATTCAACTTTGATTATCTCGAGGCCATGTGCTCGCGAGGGGCCCAAGGTGGGAGTCTAGGGTAGAGTAATGTGCTCGACAACATAACTTGTTTTAAACCTTTCCTCGAGGATGTGCTTGCGACACCACGTGGGAGTCGAGCACTACGAACAAGACTTGGAACGAAGAGTTCTAGGATAAGTTATGGAGGTGGAAGGGACATAAACGTCACTTCCTCGAGTCGTGTGTTAGGCTTTGAAAAGACAAGTGTGACGTCTTTTGAGCCACGTGTCAAATAATAAATGTGTCTAACGACCTATGGGAAGGGATACTCGAGGGGTCTAGGCGAAGGTTCGCTCTGCGTGCCAGCAGATATAAATATAAGGAGAGGGGACTCATTTGTCGCGCTCTCAATACTCAAGCTCTTACACGAATTCCTCAAGCTCTTTTGCTCTCTCTCATGCTCGTTCGTCATTGTCGTCACCGTCGTCCGTTCTTCTCCCGCCACCGTAAATTTCCAGAATCTCCTTCATACGCGTAAGTTTCCTCTGTCTTTTCCAGCTAGTATGGTAGTGGTAGCTTTAGGAATGCATGTTTTCAGACGCTCATGAGCTTCGCGATGAAGTTCTGCGTCTTTCGGCAGTTTCTATGAATTTTATGGCGTGTTCTTGAACTTCTGATGAACTTCATGAGGTTCTGATGAAGTTTTCGGGGAACTCATGAAGTTTTTGGTGAATTTTCAGGGGAGCTCATGAAGATTTTATGGAACTCATGAAGTTTCCGATGAAGATCCAGGGGAACTCTTGAGGATTCCGGGAAACTCATGAAGTTTTCGAAGAAGGTCTCGAGGAACCCATGAGGCTTTAGCGTCCTCGCTGGGTTTAACGTTGGGGAGACTTCCTCCTCGCGAGGGTCTAGAAACTGCTAAAAAATCTCACGTCGAGAAGGCTTATTCCCTTTGAAGGTTCTGACACGGAGTTTTCGTGTTGAGGAATCCCTTCTCTGCGTAGTAGGCTCGTGTCTTGTGTCAAGGAAAAGTTCCTCGTGATTACACGTTTGTCGACAAGGGCTTTGCTCGAGGATGTATCCTTGATCTTAATGTCAAATTCAGTGTTTTCTTCTACTTTTCAGGTTAAATGGCTCCAAAGCCCGAGGGCGCTGCTACGGTCGACACAGATGTTGAAGTCAGCTCGGCTGACGTAGATGCTGAATCACTGTTGGATTGGGTCGGGCAGGAACCCTGAAACATCACTTCACGTTTCATTTTGGATGGCTCGGACGCCTTCACAGCGGTCGATGACCAAGAGAAAGGGGCCCTCGTGGGCTGGG